CATTCTCCACCTTACCTTTTTCTAGCTAAACTATTTCTCTGGTAGATTAGTATTTTTCAAACTGCAGCATGTCACGCTGATGAGTTCTAAAGTCAGTTTAGTGAGTCACAAGCAGAATCTTTTACATGCAATGAGTAGACTATAAAGAACCCAATAGAATAGATTAATAGGTAGTAAGTAAAGGGCAAATATTATTTTGTGAAATTGAAGTTATAAATAAATGTGCGTACTAAGTAACAACGCGTGGGTTTAGGGGGATTTTTTGTTTTGTTTTGGTTTTGGATTTTAATGTGGTTCTTGGACAACAAGTTTGAAAAACTCGTAGTATCAAGGGTTCCATATGACCCATGGAGAGCTTCTTCATTTGTTTTAAATTATTGCATGGTATTCCATTATATAGAGTACCATAGTTATTCATACATATGCCCACCAATAGGCAATTAATCTGTTTCCAGTGCTAATTAAAACTGCTTCAATGAAGATCATTGTACATATGTTATTTTATACATGAAATAAAGTATGTTATTTTATGTATATCTGTAGAATAAATGCCTAGATGTAGAATTGCTAGGTCAAACAGTATGTAATTTTGATAAATAGTCAATCCTCATTGTTCCGGGATTCTCTATTTGTTAATTTGCCTACTAGCTAAAATTTATTTGTAATCCCCAAACCAGTATTTTTGGTACTTTCATAATCATTTGTGAATATGAGTCACCTGATGTGCACATTCCCAGCTGAGATAAACAAGGTGATGCTCTGCTTTCCTGTTTTAGCTCTTGTAGTATAAATGTGTCCTTTTCACAGTCTATTTAGTGTCATGTTTTCCATCTTTTTGTGCTTTTCATTGATGATTTCACTATTTAAAATCACCCCCAAGCATAGTGCTGAAATGCTGTTTAGTGTTCCACAGTGCAAGAAGATGGTGGTGTCTTATAGAGAAAATGTGCGTATTGGCTAAGCTTCATTCAGGCATGAATTGTAGTGCTGTTGGCTATGAATACATTGTCAAGCAACAATATGGAACATAAAGAAAAAGAAAGAGGAAATTCACTGATCTGTATATGAGGCTGCTCCAGAAAGTGCAAAAGTAAGATCTATATATGAAGCTATGGAAAAGATGGAAAAGTAGCTAAATTTATAGATTCATGGAATGATGGGCAATAAAAAAAATC